AGAAAAAAATCTTTGCAGCATTGGACTTTCCTTTCACCACCAGATATATCCACAGCTGAGCGTCCTTTCGGCTTTGGCCCAGTCGCTTCATTCTTTCTGGCGCTACTAGTACTAGCCCTCTGCTCTCCCCCAGTAGCATATTGGACACCTTCTGACCTCAGGGGCTCATCTTCCAGCGTCATATCTTTTTGCCTTTTAGTACTGTTCATGGGGTTTTCATGGCAAAGATACTGGAGTGGTTTGCCATTTCCTTCTCCAGTGGATGACATTTTGTCAGAACTCTCTGCTATGACCTGTCCGTTTTGGGTGGCCCTGCACGGCATAGCTCATAGCTTCATTGAGTTACGCAAGCCCCTTTGCCACGACAAGGCAGTAATCCATTAAGGGGGAAATTACTGTAGTTAAAACAAATGAGGGGTTTGTCACTAATAAGTAACCGTAGATAATAGACATACTAAATCTGGTATCAAACTGTCATTCACTGATTAACAAAACCCAACACTTTTTATTTTTTAAAAAAAGCATAGCAACACACACAGCCAGGGAAAAAGAATATTTTTTACACCTAACAAAAATTATAGCACAAACTTTACTGAAAAGATACTTTGAAGGTTCAGTACTGAGTTTATAGTCTAGTGAAATATGTTAAATAACAAGAGGCTAATAGCAGAGCACTACTTTAAGTTTTCTATGCAATTCAAATTAATTAACTTCACTCAGAGAGAAAATTTCAGTTCTTTAGGGAAATTTGAGTGATCATACACATTTCTATCAGAAAGCTGATAATTCTTATCCTTTATAAAGTGTCTTTTCAGCATTCACATGGGCCATCTTGGCCCATGATCCTTGTAAAAATCTTGTTAGGATCACCATGTCACTGTTGCAGACAGAAGAAGGAATAGTTGCTTGCTTAATGTTTTTAAATATTTAAATCATCATCATTTAAAAAGACTTTCCATCAGTAAAAAGCAACCTGCCCAGAGGTTATAATTTTAAAAAAACAACACAAAAGAAAGCAATGAGAGAGAGAGAGAGAGAGAGAGAGAGAGAGAGAGAGAGAGAGAGAGAGGAAAATCCAGGTACCAATTCTTAAAGATCATAGCTTTGGTGAAATGTATATTGTGATTTGCATTAATACACAGTGTTAATGCTAAATTTTAATGGCTGCATTTCATTCATTTTTCTCCCTTTTGGGGGTGTGGAATGAGAATTTATATATGCAGGATAATGATGTTTTTTGCAAAAGAAAATAATCAGTCTTCAAGAAAACAACTTGGCTGATGGTAGGGGCAGAGATATTGGGAAAACTTCTCTTCTTAGTCCAAGGTGAGCTCTTTTTTTCATCCCACCTTTAGGGTAGGCAGGGACAATCTCTGCTTAACTGAAAGAAATTTGAGTACAAGAATAATGTTCAAAGCCAATCAGAAAACTAAGAAAATGAGATCCTATAAGAAACAAGAAAGGAAAATCTTGTTTTGACTGACATATGTCTCAATTAACTGAAACACTTCCTTCAAATAAGAGAGGATGGGGCAAATAAAGAAGCAGAATCAAGATTTAAACGGTGTTCATTTCTGCGAACCTCAAAACATTAGACTCTACTGTTTATTACCTTTTATCTCAAACCGAATTCCTACAGCTCTGCCATAAACTCACAACCATGACTGGGCATTTACCTATATTTTAGTGGGGCTCTGTGCCTTATCTTCCAGCAGAGCTCTGTTTATCACGATCACTTCATTTTTATCTTTTCTCTGCCAATTCCAGATGGGTCACATGTTTGCTTTCACTTTCACTTTTATTCCCAGAACGACCACCCAGCGCAATTGGACCGAGCCCAGCTCTTCTCTCAGTCAGAGAAGCCTGTTTCTGCCTTCGCTGTGCATATCAGCCGGGGGAATATTCCCCATGATAGGACGGCACGGGGTTCAGTGAGGAGAAACCTTCGCGGCATCCTCGGTCTGCTTTACCTTTCTGAGCCAGGTACTTCCTCTGGTGCCGCTGACCAGAGTTCCGCTGCAGCTCCTGCAGGACGCGGGATTCAGCGCTGCTGCCTCTCCCCCCGGGGAAAGCGTCGGAGCCGGCGGACGCCTCCGTGGAACTGTCTACGCTGTCGCGGTGGCGGAGGCGCGCCACGCTGTAGAGCTCGGTTAGCAGGTCACTCACCAGAGAGGAGGCGCGGCTGGCCCTTCTACTCCGGCCGAGCTCCGCCTCTTCGTCCTCCACCAAGCTGTCTGCATTGCTGCTTACTCTGCTCCGAACACATCTGCCTGTTTCTACTTCAGCGGCCTCCCTGTTGTCGCCCAAGTCGACCTCCGTGAGCTCCATTGGGCTTCTTCTCCGCGCTTCAGGCGCAACAGGGACACGCGCAGCTGCTACTATGAAGAGGTGAGCAACGCTTTCGCCGCCTGAATAGTTCTCAGGCCAGAGTTCCGGGTTTGTTCCATTCTCCACGGAACGGAGGTGGAAGAGGAAGGGAAATCTCCTATGTTCGACGAAGACCTGCGTTGGCAGAGCGTCACATCCCTCCCAGCCTCTATTAGACTGCGACACTCTCGGCTTGCATTCCTCACCCCTCTGGCAGGTAGTGGCTCCCAAACAATCAGCGCTCTGCACCTGTTGCCGGGAGCCAATCAGCTTTCTTCGAATCACCGGTCCTTTGCTAACTTCAAAGGGAGCCTGCCGCTGCAGTAATTGGGATCGGGCTGATTTTGCACTAACTAACCAGTCTGGGCTTTATCTAGATTAGAGCAAGTGATCCAGATGTCACACTGAAACTGGTACATGTAGCAAAAACAAATGATTATATTTCAGCTAATGGCTATGGCTGACCTGCATAATTTTGCAGAGGAAAAACCATACACCATTAAACAGTGAATGGACAGCAAAACAGTAGCTTTCCTTGCACAACATAAGCCAAGGTTAATTTAACAATATTTACTTAATGCAATTTCTCTGGATACATGCAACAAGTTAGGTTAAATTTGATTGGTCTAAGGTCTCCCAGCTGGTTTTCAATACTTAAAGCAGGACTAAGAATTCAGTCTACCAGTTTATAGTCTGGTATCTTAACCACTAGTTCTGATTGGCCAAATTATAATGCAGCACACTGTGTAAATCCAGCCAATGTGATAGTTTAGTTTGTGTTGTCTAAATTCAGATTATCAAGTTTATCGTGAGTAAATTAATAAAGGATAAGCACATTGTAAAAGCACAGCCACTGCCATAAACTAAACCATAAACATAGGCAAACTTCATGCCAGCTAAACATAAGCAAAACATTTTATGTGCACAAAAGTTATTTCTACCATCCAGAAGTATCCACCTATGATATTTCATTTATAAAACATGCTTGAAATAGGAATGCTTAAGTTACACAAGCAAAATATACTAACCCATAATTTAAACAGTTTATTCAACCCAACATTTAAAAATTGTGTGACATACTGGATCATAAAGTGATCATACTTGGCTAATGTGTGGATAAAGCATTTCTTATAAATACAGATCTTTTAAAGAAAAAAAAATCAAAATTTTATACATTGACAAAATTAAAAACAAGCATCACTTAAAGCAGGGGTGTCAAACTGCTGGCACACAGGTCGGATGCGTCATGCTGAAACCGTGCCCACCCCATTGCTGACAATGGGGAAAAAGTCACGATACGTCGCTACACATCACGTGACATTGCAAGTTTGACACCCCTGACTTAAAGTCTGGATCATAATTTTATCTGTTTCATGGCAACATAAAACCTCACCTTTCATGCAATTTCTACTTCATCCTCAGTTTAAGGCTGGGTTTACAAATGCATTGAATCCCAGATTAACCTAATGAGTTGTGTTTAATATGTTATGCAGACTTTAACTATGGTTTGCTCTGTACAGTTCTTTAATCAGAAGTAACTATCATGCAAATACAGCCTATGAGTTATTACTCCAAGCATATATCTTGATTAGAAGAATAACAGTCCAGGAAATCTCCATTTATGACTTGATTTTTTTCATGGCTGCATTAAGCTGATTAAATAAAGAATGCCTAACAGCTATAGAACTTATTTGCAACTTATAGCACTGCAACTACTTGAAGTATACACAGTTCTCCATTCTTCATGGGTACTTCTGGCTATAATATGCTGGTTAATTACACTAGTAAAATAATGAAAAGATTTTTGCTTTGTTTGGCAACATTCAAGATGGTTTAGCATGCAACTGCTATTATTAAACTAAAATAAACTGAATCTTTACATAACATTTTAAAAATGTTTTTCTTAATTACTTTTCTGCACTTTTTTTTAGCAGGAGTATCTAACATCCCAGAAGACAAACACAGGATCCAAAAAGATCTTGACAAACTTGAACAATAGGCACTATCCAACAAAATGAGTTTCAATGTGAAGAAAAGTTTTACATTTAGGCAGGAAAAATCAAAGGTACAAGTACAGATTGAGCAAGACCTGGCTTAAAAACAGTAACTGTGAGAGGGACTTTGGAGTCTTAGTAGACAATCACTTAACCATGAGCCAGCAGCCAAAAAGGCTAATACAATCCTGGGTTGTATAAACAGAGGCATAGAATCAAGATCATGCAAGGTATTAGTAGCGCTTTATAAAACCCTAGTAAGACCACACCTGGAATATTGCAGCCAATTTTGGTCACCATATCACAAAAAAGATGTTGAGAGTTTGAAAAAAAAAATCAGAGAAGAGCAACTAAGATGATCAAAGGCCTGGAGACTAAAACATACAAAGAATGGCTGCAGGTTTGGCTAGTCTGAAGAAAAGAAGACATAGGGGAGACATGATAGCAGTATTCCAGTATTTGAGGGGCTGCCACAAAGAAGAATGGATTATTCACCAACGCACCAGAGGGCAGAACAAGAAACAATGGTTGGAAACCGATCAAAAAGAGAAGCAACCTGGAATTAAGGACAATTAACTAGTGGAGTAGCTTGCCCCCAGAAATTGTGGGTGCTCCATCACTGGAGATTTTTAAAAAGAGGCTAGTCACTTGTCTGAGATGGCACAGGTTCTCCTGCTTGAGCAGGGGGCTGGACTAGAAGGACTCCAAGGTCCCTTCCAACTCTATTCTATTCCAAGAATGAAAAACCAGCGACATTTTTCAATAAATCAGATTTTAAGTAGAATTCATAAACAATTATCATGTTGCAACAGAACAAAATAGTCTGAAATTTTAATAATTTATGAACTTATGTATGTTTTGGGTCACTGCAGCCATTATCATAAGTTATAAACATATACATCTATAGCTAAATGTGAAAATTGTAACCAGTGTGATCAGACAGATATGAAGGGTTGCAATGTCCACCATTAAAGTTGTTGGATACAAATTAGCTACGATATTACTAATTTCACAGGTCTACGGAGATTCTCAGTGATCCAGATTATAGTTATCCCACAGTGCTTTTTCACAGAAAACTGGACTTTCCTGTTTTCCTTTGAACCTGTTTTGTTTCTCAACCAAGAAGCTTCTTTAGCTCTGACTGGATGGTGGGGAATGGAAGGATTTATACTCCTTGCAGACAGCTGGTCATTTGCATTCTTAGAGAGCTGCTGAGACCACCTAATTTTACAGGTCTGTTTGTAACTATTGTTTTCTTGTTTTCTTTTTAAAAAACATTTTGTTCCATGCTTTGGTAAAAGATATTACAGTAATACATCACTGTTCTGATGATTGATGTGCTTCAAAGCTGAGACATTCAGCCCCTAAACAGGAGATAGAACTCAACGTCTTAACATCAATGAAATCCCGACACAGCTCTTGGCGAACTTCCCTGGAGGAAATCCGACGCCTGGAACAATCGGAGCCAATCACAACCGGAGCGCGGCAGCAACGCAGAGCGACTGCATTGACCCGAAGCGCATTTACGGCCTTCGCGGAAGTTGCCGGAAGTCTCCAGGTCACGTGAACCTGATTTGGCTTCGTCCTTCACCCTATCAGAGGAGAGGGAAGGAGAGGAGGCGGGGAGAAAGAGAAATAAGGAAGTACCCTTGTCTCGCGACTGTCTTTCGCGGTCCGGTGCTCTTCCTCCTCTCTTCTTTCCCTTCCGTTCGCTCCTAGCTCGGATGTAAGGATGGCTCAAGCTTCCCCGGTTCTGGCTCGGCCTTTGGTGTTCCTGCTGGTCCTCGGTTCCACTGCTTGGGTCGGCGCTGAAGCAGGAGCAGCTGGGCTCAGTGGGGATCGGAAACCCAATGTAGTGCTGATTCTGACAGACGACCAGGACGTCTACCTTGGGGGAATGGTAGCTTTGCTCTTGTTCTACGCGTTGTGTGGATGGGAGAGGGGGAGATGGACCCTCGGATAGCAGGAGAGGCGAATGCGGGTGGTTCGGAGAGGTTCCGATGCGATACTGAGGAAAGCGCAGAAAAGACCCGTCATCTTTGAGGGAGGGGAGAAAGCACTCTGGAACGACCTCTGTGGCCACAGATACCCAGGACGGAGTGTCCTGATAATACGTCTCTTTCTGCAGCTTGCAGAGGAGGAAGGGCACTTTGGAACCCAGTTCTGAGTAAACGTGCATGAATATGGGAAAGGGAAACGGGGGAGACAACTGAAGCCGCCTGTAACCTGGAACTTATTGAATAAAGGAAGTTACCGTTTGTTAGGTCGGTCCGGGGATACTTTGGATTGAAGTTGTCCGACAATCAAGAGAGTAACAAACACACACCCACATTAGACTTCGTGTGTGATTGTTTCTCTATTCCAGGAAGGGATTTAAAAAGAGCCTCTTACTATACTTTAAAAAGAGTTGCAACTGTAGTGGTCTACAATGCCGGCATGCATCTGTAGTGGAACCAATCAAAATAAGTGTTTAGAGACATTCCCACTTTCCGAGTAAGGGCCACAGTCACATCTTTTGGTATTTAGCAGGCACTGCTCTAGAATAAAGCAAGCCCATTTGCAGCAGCTGATTCTGAGTACTGTAATCTAAAAGGAAGGAAATTGTTTAATGTATGGGTTGTGCTCTTATTCCTTAGCAGAAATGTTTATGGGATTTTCGGCGTCAAGGTTTGTTATTACATTCTTTGGGGAATGAACAATATCTGGTCTGTGCTTCAGGTTCAGGGCTCATGTTATTTTTTTTTAATTGAAAAGTTTTATAAAAATTACAGTATACACCCCAAAACCCACCCACCCTAAACCCTCCTCCCTCCCCCACTTCCCAGAGCTGAGTACAGGGTTACAGATATAATAATCAAACTCTAACATTAACCAACTATATAAATAACCAAGTCCATAATGCGCTTTAACTCACCTTTAACATAGGTATAAACAAGTTAAAAATAAACATAATATAAACAAGTCAATATTATTAAACAATACAATATCCAAATAGTTAAACAATACTAATACTAAAAATAATAATAAAACTAATAAAAATTCTACTATAATAAACTATTAATAATAATACTCTAAAATTTACTCATAAACTAAATGGAACTTTTTAGTCCCATATTTATTCTGAATATAATCTATCCATCTTCTCCAGACCGAAATATATCTTTCTTGTGAATGATCCTTCAAGTAAGCAGAAATTTTCACCATTTCTGCTAAATTTGACACTTTAAGCATCCATTCTTCTATAGTAGGCAAACAATCCTTCTTCTAATATTGCCCTACCAATAACCTTGCAGCTGTTAGCAAATTCAACATCAAGTTAATTTCTTTAGCATCAGGGCTCATGTTATTTAAAATACTAGCTGAGTCCTAAAGCAATCTTTGAATATTTTAAACTATATTCTATGGAAACTGGAAAGACAAAAAATCCAGAATATTTATTGAATTAACCATCAGCATTGGCCATGAATGACATTTTTCTGAAATATATTTTCTAAAAGGTTTGTTTACTACTTACTGTTCTCATTACTGACTAATGATTGGGTAAAGCACGTAATTCCACTATTGTAACATGTTAACAGCACCTGCTTTGCATTACTATGCTTGTTCCTAAGAAAGAGAATATCTCTGAGCAGAAACCAGCTGGTTTTCCATGCATGAATTTAATATACTGTAGTAGTTATGGAATGATTTGTTTCAGATTTTGAGATTTCAGTACTAAAACAATATTGGCTTCTTAGTCTGCAATTATAAAGTTTTATTGTTGAAGATTAAACCATGCAACATCAAACAATTCTGGCTTAGCTGGAACACTGTATATGCAGCTCCTCAAAATGTGTAGTTGGGAAAAATTCTAGCATATGCAGTGTTATTCTTATTAAATCCTAAGATTGCAGTCATGAAATCTTCCTTTTACATTGTACGATTGTTTATATATTTCCTTTATTGCAGACACCTTTGAAAAAGACCAATGCTCTTATTGCAGAAATGGGTGTAACTTTCTCAAATGCAGTAAGTACATAATTTGTGGTGGGTTTTGCAAAATTGATTCTGTAAGAAAAGACAGAAGATAACTGACTCAAGGCATGAATAATTAAAGTCAAGAAAAGGGCTGGGCAGAATTTTAGTGTTCCAACAATTTTGTGCCCTAGTAAGTAAGCTAGCTTGTAAATATTTTTGTTTGAAAAGGATATTATAGAGCCATAGGACCTCTAGAACAGAGGTCCCCAACCTTTTGGGCACCAGGGACTGGTTATGTGGAGAGAAGTTTTTCCACGGACCAGAGGAGCTGTGGTTTTGTGTGCTGCCTGAATCCTGTGGATGGGGCTTTCCTTGTTCATGTTGACCGGTTGTTGGCATGCCATGGCCCTGGTCCACGGACCGGGAGTTGGGGACCCCTGCTCTAGAAACTATAATGAAATCACTGTGGTGCAGAATTGCCATCTCTAATACTTTGCTGAAATAAAATATTGGGAAAATCTTATTTTCTAGCTAGGCGACACCAGACAGCTCTTTGGGCTATTCGTTAGATTTGGGCATTGTTTTAATTAGGTTTTCTGATTTCTATCAACATTAAAGTTTACTTAGTAATTTTTCCTTAATTATGGACATTCTGCATGTTTACAGTATAATCATCTAGGTGGCAGTTAAGCTGTTAACAAAGACTGATAGGAATTTCATTTTTCTTTTTATGTTGGTTGGAGATATACAATGTCTTCAAATACTTTTGACATGAATGGTGGAAATTTTTTGTTCTTCCTAGAAATTTAGTCACAAAGATGAGGGGATGGGGAGAGGCAGGTTAGGTCGATTTCTTAATGTTTGGCTTATGCTATCCCTCACTACTGGATGTATCCTTCCTGTTGGTTATCATCTCAAACTACTGGGAAAGGATTTTAGGGGACTTGGAGTGCAAGTGTTGCTATACAAACCCAAACAGCTTTGGTTATTTAAGCCAAGGGTCCCCAACCTGTGGGCTGTGGCCCACTGTCGGGCCGCGGCTACTTGGCCACCGGGCCACATGAAGGGATGGCCAGTGCATGCACTCATGCCCCCACACTTGCACTAGTGCCACCCCAAGCATCCCATTGGCACTAGCACCATCCCACCCCGAGCGCCCCACCGGCACTAGCACCGCCCCAAGCATCCTGCCAGCACTAGCGCTGCCTCAAGCATCCCGTCGACACTAGCGCCGCCCCATCCCTGAGCATCCCACTGGCACTAGCCCCGCCCCGAGCATCCCACTGGCACTAGCACCACCCCACCCCGAGCATCCCATCGGTACTAGCACCGCCCCACCCCCGAGTGTCCCACCAGAACTAGCACTGTACCAAACATCCTGCCAGTGCTAGCGCCATCCTGCCCCAGAGTGTCCCACCGGCACTAATGCCGCCCATAGCGTCCCGCCAGCACTAGCGCTGCCCCATTTGCATGTGTGGATGCGCTCACATGCGGCCACTTATGTATCCGCATGCATTTGGCCATTTGCATATTTGCATGCACTCACATGTAGCCCATTTTTGTACATGTGTGGTGCATTTGCACGTGCACACATAGCGGTGCCTGCCTCCCTTTCCGGGGCACCAAATCAAAAAGGTTGGTGACCTCTGGTTTATGCCATGTGGGAGAACTTTATCCATTCCAATGCTCAAAGTATGTCTTCTGAGATTAACTAGAGCACTTCAGGATGTTTCAATATTTTTTGAAGAGTTTGCAATTTAGACAGTGTTTTGGTTTAGCAGTATTATTTGAAGTGCTGTGTTCTATCACCTTATGAAAGATAGTGTTCCAGAACCTAGTTAAAATTTGGCAGTAAACTGGAAAAAATGCTAAAATATTCCTTAAATATGTGACATTTGATTCTTATTTTCTGTGTTGTTAAAATATTTTTGCAATAAAGATCTTGTTCATTACAGTCATGAGGGAACTGCAATTCTCACTAGTTCTAATCTTTCACTAAATGTAAAATTAAAATAATTACTAGGTTATAATATCAAGCAAAGAGTAATAAAGAGTTCTCTAGTGTTGCCTAGCTAGAAAATAAGATTTTTCCAACATTTTATTTCAGCAAAATATTAGAGAAAGCAATTCTGCACCACAGTGACTTTATTATATTTTCTAGAGGTTCTATGGCTCTATAAATATCCTTTTCAAATGTAAAAAAATCATAACTGTATTTACAAGCAAGCTGATTACTAGGACACAGAATTGTTGGAACATTAAGACAAAAGTTCTGCCCAGCTCTTTCCACTATTAATATATATTAGTGAAAGGTATTTATTTTGGTGAGTGCCCTATTACTTTTGGGATATCTGGATATTATGTCATCAAATATTTTAAAATGTATTTGAATATTGTATGTAGAATAGTTTTAGAAATTTTATGGAAACTACTAAACCCACAAATAGTAAGACCTGCAATTACCAATCTGTTTATATTAATTTGCTTATAAAAGTTATAGACTGAAATGTAGGGATGCAGGAAATTAGTGTTGTATTATCTAATTTCTATAATCATTTTTTTATGTAGTATGTACCCAGTGCACTATGCTGTCCTAGTAGAGCCAGCATCTTGACAGGAAAATATCCACATAATCATCATGTTGTAAATAATACTTTGGAAGGAAATTGCAGCAGCAAATCCTGGCAGAAGATTCAGGAGCCATATACCTTTCCAGTTCTACTCAAGTCTGAGTGTGGCTATCAAACATTTTTTGCTGGAAAATACTTGAATGAGGTATGTTTATATATGATATATATTGTTTGAAATACCCATTTTAAAAATGTTTTTGCATATATAAAATCTCTGATTGCACAAGGAAAATAGAATATCTTTGGATTAATCTAAATAATCTAAATATTACATATAGAGAGAGGAAATCATGCTCCTGAAAATTAAGCTATAAAATTAAGAGTATGTATTAATGTAAGAGCAAGAATTCATACAGTACTTAAATAAAAAGGGAATTAGTTGAATTGCCTTATTTTAAAATCTGACCAATTATCATAAATATATGTTATCTAAATGTGAGAGAGTTTGTGTGATACATTTTGTGGCATTCAGTGGAGAATGATCAGCCACTTGTTCTTAAGAGCCTACTTATAATTGAACTAATGGAAGGTGAGCATCAGAAGCTATCTTTCCCCAAGAAAATGAGTGCTACTTTTAATAGTGAAGCTCTTGATTAAATCATTTGATGGTTATGGAATCTATAAGCCTATATGAGATTAGGCAGTTATATGCAAACTCTCAATATGTGCATGGATTGCTTTTTGCAACTGAAAAAAAAATCTACATGAAGAAAACTTACTTTACCTTAAAGCTTTATATTTCTTAGATCAGATAGCTATGGTATACTCTTCAAACATCTTCTAGGTTTGGGTACTCTGTTGTTGGTACTCTTAAGATTTTTTTTTTTTTTTTGCTGAGAAAATGAGAAAACAAGCTTAATATTAGATTTTTCTTTTTCCAGTATGGAGCAGAAGATGCAGGAGGACTTGGCCATGTTCCTCCTGGATGGAGTTTTTGGTATGCCTTGGTAAGTATAAAAGAACATATGTATGTCTTTCTTTCTCCTTCCTCCTTCCTCATTGTCTTTCCACTGCAGGATGAAGGCCCCTTCCGCATGGTCCTGAGCTTTCTTTTGCCAATTGGGCCCACAATACTTGCTGATGTAGTCAATCCATCTTGTTTTAGTTCTCTTTCGTGGACACTTTTTTTCTACGATTGCCTTGGTCCAATTGCCATCAGTTCTTTCTATATGAGCAGCCCATTTCTATTTCAATTCTTTTACTCTCTTGATGATATTGTATACTTTTATTTGTTCTCTAATCCATGTGCAGGTCTTTCTAACTTATCCTGTAATGCTGAGCATATATCTTTCCATAGCTCTTTGCACCACTTGTAGCTTTTGTATCGCTTATGAGGCTAGTGTCCATGTTTTACTAGCATGTTAGAGCAGGTAGCACACATGGATCGAAAACTTTTCAGGCATATAGGGAGAGGTTGTTTTTGAAAATTATGTTTAGCTTGCCGAATCCTGCCAACCACGTTTAACACACCGTTCAATTTCCTTTATTGTATCACCTTCCAATGAGATCCATTGGCTGAGCTATATGAAATGATCTACTACATCTAGTTCTTCTCCAGATATAATTTTTTTTCTTTCTTTGGTGAATTTATTAAACATAACCTGGCTCTTTTTCAGGTTTATTTTTAAGCCAAATGGTTCTTCTGCTTCATGCAGCTTTTTTATATGTCTTTGTAGCTCTTCTGGGTCTTGTGAGAAGAGAACATCATCTGCAAATCTTAAATTATTTAAATAGACACCATTAATTTTTTTTAATGAAGAAATTTTATTGTTTTTTTCATTTTTACATAAAAGTGCTTGAGAAACAACGTGGTGATTGGGCTATCAATTATCCAAGAACAAAATCATATATATATATCACACAGATTAATTTCTTAAAAGTTCCCTCTCTATTTCCCACATATTATTTTACCAATTAAAATTATTACATTTGTAAAAAAGCTCAATCAATCCAATCAGTCATCAATCACACTTCAATTATAAGAATCCAAGTCCTGTTTTTAAGCTTTACTATTTTGAAAATCACCATATTCCAGTTAAGCTTATATAGACATATTAACGCTTCAGGCATCCCTCATTTCTCTTTTCCCTATCATTGCTCAAACTAATACATCATTTATTAATACTATTACTTCTTTTATTACAAATACCTCCTCTTCTCCCTCTATTACAAAATAGTTGTCTTGGTTAAGATAAAGATATCAATTGAAAAAACTACATTTCCGTCTATTTTAAATATATATTCTATCAATCAATTAAGTAAAATTTACCCCTCCAACTACTTGTCATCTCTAATACCAAATATTGTTACAGAAAATATCCTTTTACAAAATTACCTATTTCATTTGTTATTAAAACAATCCAAGTGTCAACAACCTTTTTAACCCATTCAGTGGAATTTTAAGCCACATTTTTAAACCTAATTCTAGCTTTCTTTCTATGCCAAACCAGTTTCCATAATAAAGCCTCTGCATCATCAAACCTCAACATTTGAGTAAAGCTATTTCTCAGTACATCAAAATAGTCAAAGTTCTCTTCTCTTTCTTCCAATGTTGTCTGAATAGTATAGTCAATTTTATTCCTTATTGTAGTTGCTAGTTGATTGTCCACATTATCATAATTTTCAATAACTTGTACCTGAATGTCAAGCTCTGTTATTTTGGGGGGATCAAATAGCTCAGTTAATGTTATTCTTTGATCATCAATGTTCTCCATAGGTCGTAAATAGGATTGTGTAGAATTAATTTGCTCAGTAGTTTCTATTGTAAGTTCATAATTAAATTGTAAGTGCAGTTCCTCTGTCTCGTTCAGTTGTATATCTTGTTGAGTAGGAACCTCTCTAGGGTTACTCTGTTCTTGCTCTGTTATTCTTTGGTCTATAGTTTGAACCGATGGTTGAAAGTCAATTTGTGGTTCTCTTTGATTTTTCTCCAGGATTTGATATAAGCTTTCATATAGTTTGTAGTTTCAAAATCTTTTCCAATATAAGTTCATAGTCAAGCTGTGGATAAAATTCCTCCTTTTCAATGGTGAAATAGTCTTTGATCAAGAATAGGCTTTGATCTTTTAGTGGAGGCTATATTTCAAAAAGGTCAAGCAAATATCCACCTCCAAAATTCTAATAAGCAAATTCACCACAGCTGTTGCAAATCTTTTATCTTTTCCCTTTTGTTGTCATTTGAAGGTCAAATTCATCTTCAAATAGCAAAAGAAAATACAGTTGTAATGGCACTTTTTGCCACAAGATGTCCTCAGTGGACTGTAAACTCTTTCTTCCAAATAGGTAAAAATTTATCTCTTTCGGGGAAACAGAAAAAGCAAAAGCAAGTATCTCCGGTATAATAGATAAAGTAAAAAATATAGCGTTTCTTTTTTATTTTTTTCACGGCCCCTGGGTATCCAAAGAGAAAAATCAAGTAGTCAATAAAACTTTAACTATTTTAGTTCTTTTAAAACTTTCTTTCCCAAGTAGACAGATGCTGCTCTCTTAAGACAGGGAAGTGATCAAAAACTTTTTACAGGCAAATAGACAGAGAGAGGGAGAAAGGTCTCACCCAGATTCACCATGGTGATTCTTTATGCTTAAATGATTTTCGGCTGGTGCAACTAAGTGATCGGCCATTTTACTGGCCGATCTTCTTCTCTGTCGGCCCTACAGAGTTAGTTCGGACTGCAGGGGGAGCCGCTGCTCTACTGCAGCCGAGCAAAAGCCTCCTCAACAGTAGTCACCCCTCCAGGGTGACTTAAGACCCGCATAAGGGTCTACCGGTGGAGGGAAAAGAGCTGATGAAGAGAGGTCTCTTCATGCGACTGAACGTGCCGCAATCCGGAAGCGGAAGTCACCATTAATTTTTATTCCATGTTTTGCCCAGTCTAGTTTGCGAAATACTTATTCAAGGCAGACTGAGAAAAGCATAGGTGATACTGTATCTTCTTGTCATATACCTCGTTCTATGTTGATTTCCACTTCAAGACCATTAAGGCAAATTGTTGCCATTGTTTTTTCATATATTGATTGTACTATGTACTTATGTAAGCAGTGTCTATGCCTTGATTGAGCAATGCATTAATTATTGCTTGCTGGAATACTGAATCAAATCCTTTTCGTAGTCATGAAAGCCATGCACAGAGGCATGTTGTACTCGGTGTGCCCTTCAATGACTTACTGAACAACCTGGATGTGATCCATTGTGTTGTAGTCACTTCTGAACCCTGCTTGGTCCTTTGGCTGTGCATCATTTAATGTTGTCAATATTCTTTTTGCTATTATCTTGGTGAAAACCTTGTAGATGACTGAAAGGAGGCTTATTGGGCAGTAGTTCTTTAAATCATTGTGGGCTCCTTTCTTGTATATAAGAATCACTTCAGCATTTTTCTTCTCAGGCATCTCAAGTATAGTTTTGCTAGTATCTTGTGTAAATTGTGACCATCAGCTTTCAGCATTTCAACCAAACACAGTCATTTCCCAAAGCTCTTTATGAATGTTGTTACTTTTGAATGATCTTAATCTTTGTATAGCTCTGAATAGAATTTTCCAATTATTTCTAACATTTCCTTTCTTGTTCTACACACAGAGCCATCTTCTTGTTTTAATGCAAAAACCTTCTTTCTTGTATTTATAAGCTTGCATTTTGCTCTATTAATCTCTTTTCAATTGCCTTTTTCATATATAAAACTGGAAGTGTCTTGGCGACGTTTCGACGAAGTCCCATTCGTCATCTTCAGGCTGGTATTTTCAGCTTCGTGCTTCGAGGAACAATGTGTGGTCTTAGCTGTTTCTTTCTTTTAACTGCCAGTGGGGGTATGAACTGATTGGGTGGGAGCTTGGCTGTGTTCTGATTGGGTGGAGGTGTGTTCTGATTGGTTAGGGGCTTGGCTGTGCTCTGATTGGCTGAGGGGTTGGCTGTACTCTGATTGGCTGGGGGGTTGGCTGTGCTCTGATTGGCTGGGGCAGTTTTCTGTTTGGGTGGGGGCTTTGTTGTGCTCAGGTTAGTCTGAGTTGCAGGGGGGTTTAAGATGATGGGCTGCCTTGCTAATTTTTGGTTTTGCGTTTGTGGTCATGCCTCATCTTCATGGTGGGTGTCAGTTTGCTTCATGTATGGATTAGAGGGGTTTAAAGTGACTAATGATGCAGCTGTGGTCTGGCTTCTGGTTTGTGGTCGTGCCTCATCATCGGTGTGGCTTTGGATTTGCTTTTTGCGTGGATGTGTGGTTGTGACATCCTGTGTGGTTTTTGTGAGTGTGGGTCTGGTGTCATTTTTTGTGTTAGGGAGTCATTTGTCAATAAGCGCAATATGAAATCCCATGTACTGCTTGTCCCAACACATACATCGGACAAACCAACAGAAGAATAAGTGCACGCATTGAAGAACATAAGAACTCAGTCAAAAAAGAGGAACCAACATCTTCCCTGGTCCAACACCTTAAAGCCACAGGACATGAAATTGACTTTAAAAATACCAGAACTATCGCCAAAACTGAACATTTTAATAACAGATTAATCAGAGAAGCCATCGAGATAGAAAAACGCCCACACAGCATGAACAAATGAGATGATACCTCCCGCCTACCAGCCATTTGGAAACCCGCCCTTATTGACAAACGAGTCCCTAACACAAAGAATGTCACCAGACCCACACTCACGAAAACCACACAGAATGTTACCACCACACATCCATGCAAAAAGCAAACCCAAAGCCACACCGATGATGAGGCACGACCACAAACCAGAAGCCAGACCACAGCTGCATCATTAGCCACTTTAAACCCCTCCAATCCATACATGAAGCAAACTGACACCCACCATGAAGATAAGGCACGACCATGAACGCGAAGCCAAACAACAGCAACGCAGCTCACCATCTTAACCCTCCCTGCAACTGAGACTAACCTGAGCACAACAAAGCCCCCACCCAAACAGAACACTCCCCCAGCCAATCAAAGCACAGCCAACCCCCCATCCAATCAGAGCACAGCCAAGCCCCTAACCAATCAGAACACACCTCCACCTAATCAGAACACAGCCAAGCTCCCATCCAATCAGTTCATACCCCCACTGGCAGTTAAAAAGAAGAAACAGCTACGATCACACATTGCTCCTAGAAGCACGAAGCCGAAAACACCAGCCTGAAGATGACGAATGGGATTTCGTCGAAATGTCGCCAAGACCTATATATATATACACACATACATACATACATACATACATACATACATACATACATACACACATACACATACACATATACATAAAAAGATAGGTATTATTAAGAATGGGACAATACCTATGTGTTTATTGCCCAATTCTGTTATAAATAAATTTGTATATATTGAATATTTAAGATTGATATCTGCTATGATTTAAAGTTGCCTCTTTGTAACTTAAAGATATTATGTCAACAACAGTCTTGTGTGACTAATTCAGGCAAGATTATAAGAATTCCGGTTTATTCAGATTAAGTATAGTGGTAGATGCTTCCTGATTGATAGTGCTTAATTGTTAAATCAGAAAACCTCTTCCTGCAAGTTCTTTTAGTATTATATCTGAATTTGTAGCCTTAGTTTGATTTGCTCAAAGCCAGAATCATTACACAGAATTTATTTTAGGTTGGTAAGATTTTAGATGATTAGGGAGAAATAATGTCATAATTCAGACATAATATGACAAACCAGTTGGGAGCAATTGAAAGGCATATATGAGAATTTAGCTCAATAAGCCAACGTTCTAAAAAATATTGGTTTTGTTCTATTATTGTCTCTTTCCTGGGCATAAACATTGTATTTTTATTTTCTTATGTTAGGAAAAAAACTCTAAATATTATAACTACACACTTTCAGTAAATGGAAAAGCACGCAAGCATGGTGCGAACTACAGCATGGATTACCTGACAGATGTATTGGTAAGAATTTTTCAACTAGTTTTAGCATGTTTATTTGTTCTAGTAGCATACTGAATGCTAACAAATTTGTTATGCACAGATTTCAGTATAGTAGATTTTACTGTAGTCCCTCTAACGTTATGCCATAATCCAGTTATCTAAGTTAAAATGATGCAAAATATTGTTTTGCTATACAGTCCTAATACAGCTATCAGTCTGGAAATAACATATTGCTGAAAATGTTCACAGTATGATGATAAGAATGAAATCCCGCAAATAAAATCCTAACTCTTAAGGGCATGTCTCATTGTCCTTATGAAATTATTCAGGAGACGAATTTGCTCCACATCTCCTTGTAGTTCCTAGTTTTCTATGCTATTATTTTTTTCGGATATCAAGGCATTCCTGAATCTTCCCAAGGTTATCCTCATCATCACTTTATTGCAGTTTTATATCCAGGATCCATAGGATTGTATCTCTTCTTTACACAATTTAATCCTTGAATTACTATAACTGAAGATCAGGAGTTTTGCCTTGCAATGTTTTATTTATTTCTTAGTTTGAAAGCTAAACACAAGACATTTAAAATAAATGTAATGGCTTGTGAATTTGAAGTATTCTCTTAGAGACACCTGTTTCTGATTCAGTATGATAATGAGTAAATAAATTAATAAGCATCTGCTTTCAGGCTAATATGTCCTTGGATTTTCTGGAATATAAATCCAGCTTTGAGCCATTTTTCATGATGATAGCAACTCCAGCACCGCATTCACCTTGGATAGCTGCTCCACAGTATAAGAAGAATTTTGAGAATGTCAGTGCTCCAAGAAATAATAACTTCAATATCCATGGAAAGGTATAGATTCTGGATCTTTTACAGATACTGTTGTTAGTATTTGCTAGATATTTTTAATAAATCTCTGCTTTAATTTCATGACCTTAGAATATATGTAGCAGCAAATATATGTAATACCAAAACTCTTTTTTTAATTCTTAGGTTTTGTTTACACTGGATATTCTCCCACTAGAATATTACATGTTTTTGTCACTTCATTTCATTTTTTGCCACCTGATACATATGTCTCTCTCCATACTTTGTTCTTTTGACTAATTTATTTTTAATAACTTTGACTACATCCTTTTACCTAGCATTCTGACACAGATTTGTTAATCTGTATCCAAAGCATCTGCAGTGATCTTGGAGCCCAGGAAAATAAAATCTGTCACTACCTCCATTTCTTTCCCATCTATTTGCCAGGAATTGAAAAGGCTGGATGCCATGATTTTAGTTTTCTTAATGTTGAGTTTCAAGCCAACTTTTGCACTCTCCTTCTTCACCTGCATCAAGAGGCTCTTTAGTTCCTCTTCACTTTCTGCCATTAGAGTGGTATCATCTGCACATCTTAGGCTGTTGATATTTCTCCCGACAATCTTAATTCCAACTTTTGATTCATCTAGCCTGCCTTTCTCATGATGTGCTCTGCATATAAATTAAATAGGCAGGGCGACAGTATACAGCCTTGCCGGACTCCTTTCCCAATTTTGAACCAATCAGTGGTTCCATGTTCCAGTTCTTGACCCACATATAGGTTTCTCAAGAGACAAATAAGATGGTCTGGTACTCCCATCTCTTTAAGAACTTGTCACAATTTGTTGTGATCCACACAATCAAAGACTTTAGCATAGTCAATGAAGCAGAAGTAGATGTTTTTCTGGAACTCCCTAGCTTTCTCCATGATCCAGCATATGTTGGCAATTTGATCTCTAGTTCCTCTGCCTCTTCGAAATCCTGCCTGTACTTCTGGTAGTTCTCGATCCACATATTGTTGAAGTCTAGCTTGTAGGATTTTAAGCATAACTTTACTAGCATGTGAAATGAGTGCAATGGTGCGATAGTTTGAACATTCTTTGGCATTGCCTTTCTTTGGAATTGGAATGTAAACTGACCTTTTCCAATCCTGTGGCCACTGTTGAGTTTTCCAAATTTGCTGGCAAATTGAGTGTAGCACTTTTACTGCATCGTCTTTTAAGATTTTGAATAGCTCAGCTGGAATACTGTCACCTCCACTAGCTTTGTTGTTGCTCAGATTTCCTAATGCCCATTTCACTTCACATTCTAGGATGTCTGGCTCGAAGTCAGTGACCACCCCATCATGGTTATCTGGGACGTTAAGCTCATTATTGTATAGTTCTTCTGTGTAATTATGCCACTTCTTCTTAATCTCTTCTGCCTGTTAGGTCCTGCCATTTTGGTCCTTTATCATGCACATCTTTGCATGAAACGTTCCCTTCATATCTCCAATTTTCTTGAAGAGATGGGGACTGCAGCCAAGAAATTAAAAGACACTTGCTCCTGGGGAGGAAAGCTACGGCAAATCTAGATAGCATACTAAAAAGCAGAGACATCACCCTGCCAACAAATGTGTGTATAGTCCAGGCCATGGTTTTCCCAGTTGCAATGTATAGGTGTGAAAGTTGGACCATAAGAAAGGCTGAGCGATAAAGAATTGAGGCCTTTGAACTATGGTGCTGGAGAAGACTCCTGCGAGTCCCTTGGACTGCAAGGCGTTCAAACCGGTCAGTCCTAGAAGAGATCAACCCCGACTGCTCTTTAGAAGGCCCGATCCTGAAGTTGAAACTCAAATACTTTGGCCACCTAATGAGAAGGAAGGACTCACTGGAGAAGGGCATAATGCTGGGAAAGATTGAGGGCAATAGAAGAAGGGGACGACAGAGAATGAGGTAGCTTGATGGAGTCACTGAAGCAGTAGGAGTGAGCTTAAATGGACTCCAGAAGATGGTAGAGGACATGAAGACCTGGAGGAACATTGTCCATGGGGTTCCAATGGGTTGGACACAACTTTGCAGCTAACAACAACAACAAAAATCCAAAGCATGATTCAGCTTTCTCTTTTCTAAGGCAATGTGTAAGGGTAGATGCTTTTAAATTGTTTGTTTTAAAAATCTGACTCTATTGCTGACGTCTTTTGCCTGTTTATTTGAGAATATAGATAATACAGAATATAGATAAACCCAAGGTCATTTTTAGTATATATAAGATTGTAAGAAATGCAGTTATTTAATTAGAATATAAATGTGCATATCTCGTTTGAAGATAAGAAATAAGATTAAGGTATTTATTAACAAGATGATGCAAACTGTCCTGAAATTTATTTTTCAGTTGTGGTTGGATAGATTCCTCTTTTGAATATGCTGATCTGTGTGGACTATGCAATAAAATGGGTTGTATATAGTTAGCAAACAATGACCCACATTTTGTTTTGACAAAATACCAACTCCAGATTAGATTGGTACCTTCTGTTCTGATTCTAGATGAAAATGAAGGCCATATGATGCTCTACTACTTCATGATATAAGCATAATGATATTTCTTAATTTTATATTGGCTAGTGTTTTTTTATTATTTCTCTATTCAAGGTCTTGTGTTTTAGCAATATTTGGTGTTTTGGTTACTTCCTGCCTAGTAAGACTTTGCATCAGTGCTTTTTTTGTTAAAAAAAAAAAGTGCCAGAATTCACACACGTCATACAACCCGCCTTGCCTACCTTATAAGGTTCCATCCAAAAAAGGTGCCGGAACTCCGTTCTGGGCGTTCTATGACAAAAAAAGCCCTGATTTGCACTAAGACAATATTATTTTATTAATGAAAAATAATAAAAAACATTTAGAAATCAAAATGTTTGAGTTTAGGTTTCTTTATAGAAGAAACATTAGTACAACAGCAACTGGCAAAACATAGTGTATCTTTATGGAAAATTCTGGTGCTCAATTTTCCTTTGGTCTTTTGAAGTATGAGGTTATAAATTAAGCAATAGTAACTATTGAAATTGGTCAAATGCCAAAATGTGGCAGCCAGTTTTTTATTTGGGAAAAGCTGCTTGAAATTAATAATTGCGTTAAATAAATAGACTAGTTCTTCTGTACCTAATAAGTGAGAGCAAGCCACACTGAATTCTGTGCCATTTACTTCTGAGTAAATGTATAAAATTTGCACATTATTTTCAACTAGAATTATATAATGTTGATTAAACGTTAAGCACATTTTTCTCATGTTTTTAACAATGTTTTTACAGGATAAACATTGGCTTATCAGACAAGCAAAGACTCCAATGACTAATTCATCAGTACAATTTCTAGATGATGCTTTTAGGAAAAGGTAGGAAACAAATTTTATAGGAATTTGTTTTTGCAAAATCGAAGAAAATCTTGTATGAAAATGCATACTTCAGTTTGTTGCTTTGATATAGAAATTAGCTTTAGAAAGTATAAAACTAATAGTACTAGTAATCTGTCATCCACCCTAACTTTACAAAAGTTCTCCAAATTATTATAATCTCAACATGTCTGTTGAACTAGAGAGCAGCTGCAAGCGGGAAAAATAGAGCCTACAATATATGTACTACTAAAACTCTTGTGTCTTTAATCTTTACCCGGGTAAAATGGTACATCACAGGGCAACAATTTTTGAGCCAAGGTACCTCAAATAAGATAACATATAGAATGTATTCAGAAATTCAGAATACATGACTCCCATGGAATTGATATTTGGCAAATGTTATAAAACATTTTATGACAATTGACCTATTAATTCAACTTGATTGCTGTGAACTAACCTTCTGCAATTTGGTTCCCTTGTAGTTTGGGAAATCCAGAAATTTTAGAAAGTAGTAGGCTGAAATCAGAATAAAGTAACTTGAAATTAGCCAGATATTCAATTCAAGCATTATGCCTAAACTGAAATTCCTGTGTTCTCAAAGTCAGAAATGTAAACTTAACTTATTTACAAATACTGTTTTCAGATTATATCTAATTAATGGATTAACATTTCTAACTGGAGAACCTGGATTATTATTTTTTCAATTATTTCAATGATTTGCTTACTTCCATTGACGGAAGAACTAAATAATGAAATGTGGCAGCACGTGCTAGTGTGTTGCTCTTTAGCAATAAGTAAAAATTTATTGTAATAGTCACATGAGTGCTGTTACAATTAAGCAAATCAGGCAATTTTTTCAAAAAGACCCCCAAGAAATCTTTGCTTGGCTAAGGTGACAGTACTTATTTGACCTAAATAAACCATGACTTTGTAGAATGTGTGAAATCAATGTCTTCTGTGAGATGTAAAATGCTGCTAAAGCTTTTGTATTTTGACCTGAACAATCCTATCTCTATGTAGATGGCGGACACTTCTGTCAGTGGATGATCTAATAGAAAAACTTGTGAAGAAGCTGCAGTTTCAGAGAGAGCTGGATAATACATATATTTTTTACACATCAGACAATGGATTTCATACAGGTAATATATATTTATATATAAATTACTCCTAGAATTAATTAGGAGTTCCAGGTATACATTTGGAAAACTTTAGAAAAAAATGTGATATTTCTGGGGAGAGAAATAATACAGACTCATTGAACATTATTTATTTCAACTTGGATGATCATATATGCTCCTCAGATATTCTCATTTGGAAACTCTAAATTTCAAGCCAACAGATGAGCAACTAATTGAAAATATTTCTTGAAGATCAGATAAAGTAGAATAATAGTTTGCAAATCAACCTCTGAAGAATGAAATATTCTGTTTCAGAATTTCTTGAAAGTTGTGAGTGATAGAATTTCTGCTCTCTATATTTATAGGCCAGTTTTCTTTGCCTATTGACAAACGGCAGCTGTATGAATTTGATATTAAAGTTCCATTGCTTGTTCGAGGTCCAGGAATAAAACCCAACCAGATAAACAAGGTACATTTTCCTTTGAGAACAATGCTGTATGATGTCATAACATTTATAGTATGAATTGTATGTTGAGTATAATTAATAAGAATGCAAGATATTTTGACTAGAAATAGGCTTTATAAGAACAGGTATGTAGTAAAACTGTATGTACATGTGTAGGTAAAGCAATAGAATAGTAATTGTTTCTGAATCTGCTTGGTAAACAGTAGAAATTGCATTTATTTTAATACCTGAGTAGTTTTTTAAAGTTGTTATAAAGCCTCTTATCTAGTCGTTGGAAGCACTTGTTACTCACATGAATGGCTAGATAAGTTTTCTATCTGCAAGCCAAGCCTAAACATTGTAGTATTGCTATAAAAGAACAAAGAAATCTTTGCAGGACTGCAACCCTCTAAAATTATAAAAATTGCTGAATACCACTCTTCCATTAATAAAATTAATAATTTTATTGAGGTTAGGGTTAGATAAGAAATGCACATACTGATGTATATAATATGGAACTAATTTCCTCACCTCCTTTTCATTCTCTCTCTTGCTTCTAGTGTATCTTTTGTGTACATTGGAATGAATCTCCCTTATAAATCCTTATATGTAGTTTTATGATTAAGAATGGGAAAAGGTTAGGCTAATAGTTAGAATTACTACATAACTATTCTGTTTATTATAAAATGGAATGTTCACATTCTGAATCGGTGGCTTTAAGCCTTCATGTGTAACACTATGTTATTCAACAATGGTAGGGCATACTAATAATCCAGAAATCATGCAATATTTGTGGGACGCCAGGAACATTTTCTAAATGGAGATTCTCAAGAGATAACTAAAATTTAGAGAACATTGGAATTCTCACCTGAAATTTAAAAGATGATCAGAAATCACAAATCTCACAAAACTTCTATTTTATCACCTACAATAACCACATGACTTGCTAATGATCCCAGGACAGTATTTTGGGAACCATTGTTTTCTATTATTAAAAACCAAAAAAGTTGTCTATATAATCCCAGGTGGCCAGTTATCAGGTCTAAGTTAAAGTGAAAGTATCTTCTGAGATGGAATTTTAGCTCGTGATTATATAAGTAAATGGCAAATAGAAGCAGGAAATTATGCTTCAGTTTTGTTACTTCTACAGTTTTGGCAATTTCCTAGTTTCAGGGGTTTTTCTGTTTTTGTTTTTTTTAATTTTTATTAATAATACAAAATTAAAAACACATTGGACGTAGATACATCTTCCGACATTTTACAGTAGTATTCGTACTCATATAGACATAAAGTTCTTGAGCTTTGCTCACTATTTATAATATAATATTAACCCTTTTCTCTTATTTCTATATATTTATTTATCTTTTAAATATACATTTGTCTATAATCTATATTTTATTCTAACACTATACATTTGTCTTGGCTACCCTCTTATTGTCTATCCAATCATAAAATTGTTCCCAGATTTTGTAGTACATAGTTTCACTTTTATCCTTGAGTTTCCCATGTAAGTCTATCCATTTCAGCACAATTGCAAATTTTCAGTAATATTTCCTCTTTGGTTGGAGTATCTTTCTCTTTCCATTTTTGAGCGAAGGCTATTCGTGCCGCTGTTACTATATGCAGTAGTAAATAATTTGTATCTTTCTTATATTTTCTTTCTATAATTCCCAATAAAAAAATTCCGGTTTGGCCCCTATATCTATTAGGAAAATTTCTTCCAGCCATTTCTTTAATAAGTTCCAAAATTTTTGTGCCTTTGGGCATTGCCACCACATGTGATAGTAATTCCCAACGGTCTCTCCATACTTCCAGCATATCTAGGATTTCCCCTTGTTCATTCATGCTAATCTTGTGGGAGGGAGGTGCCACCTATAAAACATCTTGTAGAGATTTTCCTTATAGGAGGTTGTTAGAGTAATTTTTAGATTTTTTCCCATAAACTTTGCCAATTATTCAAATCAATATTGTGCCCAAAATATTTATACCAAATTATCATCGTTTCTTTCACCTGTTCCTCAATCATATCTTGCTCTAATAAATATCGATATAGTTTACTTATAGTCTTGCCTTCCCTACTAAATAAGATTTTATCTAATTCTGAAGAGTTTTGCTTTATGCACTTTTTGTCTTTATTAAATTTGGATTGGATTTGAAGATACGCTCACCATTCCAGATCAATTCCTTCTTCCTTTAAGGTATTTCTCGCTTTTAATTCTCCTTTCTCATTCAAAATATCTTTATAGGTGACAGCACCCCCACGTTTTATCAAATTTGGATGTGTGTACATTTCTAATGTTGACACCCAGCTGGGGATTTTCATATAATTATTTCTTTTTATTTTTTTCCAGATATCCAATAATGTTCTCCTAATATAATGCTTCCGGAAGTGTTGCTGGACTAAATGTCTTTCTTCCCACAAAGCAGCATGCCACTCTGTCTGTAGGTCATGACCTTCTAGTGCTAATAATTTTGTATTTTTGAGATGCATCCACTCACTTAGCCAGACCAACGCCACTGCCTGATAATACTTTGTCCAGTCTGGTAGGCCAAATCCTCCTCTTTCTCTAGCGTCTTGTAATAGTTTTAATCTGATTCTCGGTCGTTTCCCTTGCCATATGAATTTTGAAATGAGTCTATCCAAATTTGTAAAAAATCCTTTTTAAGCCGAATTGGTATGCATTGAAACAGAAACAACATTTTCAGAAGAACATTCATTTTAATGGTGGGTATCCTACCCATTAAAGATATCTGTAGTTTCTCCCAATTTCCCAAATCAGACCTAATTTGCACCATTAATTTATCATAATTGTCTTCTTTCAGAGTGATGCATCTCGCTGTCAATTGGATTCCCAAATATCTTATTTTTTTCGTAGTCTGCATATTTAGCCTTCCCTCCAATTCTTTTTTTTGCTCTTCAGTCATATTTTTAACTATCATTTTTGTTTTATCCTTATTTATTTTCAGGCCTGCTACTTCTCCATAGTCTTCCAGCACTTCCATCAGCCTAAGACCAGATTGTACAGGCTCTTCAATAATAAATACAAGGTCGTCCGCAAATGCCTGTACCTTAAAACTTTCTTTTCTTACTTTTAAACCTTTAATTTGTTTGTCTTCTCAAATTGTTCTAAGTAAAACCTCTAATGATAAGATAAAAAGCAGTGGAGATAGCGGACAGCTTTGTCTAGTGCCTTTTTGAATTAAAAAGTTCTTTGTCATTTCCCCATTTATCACCACTCTAGCTTCTTGTCTGGAATAAATTGTTTGGAACATCTTTATAAATTTTTCCCCAAAATCCATATATTTTAATTGTTCTAGTATGAAGTCCCATTTGATGTTGTCAAATGCTTTTTGCGCATCAATGAATATCAACGCCATCTGTTTTTCATTATGAGCTTCATAATATTCTATCGTATCCAAAATAATCCTAATGTTATTCCTTATATGCCGTCCGGGAAGAAAGCCGTTTTGGTCAGTATGAATAAAATTCTCTAAAATTTTCTTTAGTCTATCTGCCATAATTGTCATGAATATTTAGTAGGGATATCAGCCTATAGTTTTTAATATAAGTCAAATCAGAATTTTCTTTGGGAATCAATGTGATTGTTGCTTCTTTCCACGATTCAGGTATCTTGGCTTTATTCAGTACATCATTGTACACCTCTAATAGCAGTGGGCTTAATATTTCCTGATGGTTTTTATAGATTTCTGAAGGTAAATCATCTGGACCTGGTGTTTTGTTACTTTTTTGCTTTTTAATTGCCTCAGATATCTCCCTTGCTGTTATCTCATTATTTAATAATTTTTTCTCCGAGATTCTGGGCAAGTCTGTTTTTTGAAGGTATTGCACCATCTTGCCTTCTTCTACTTTCTCCTTATCCTCATAAAGGTTTTAAAGAACTCATACGCTACCTTCCTCTTTTCCTCATTTTGGTAAATTAACTCTCCTTCTTCATTATATAATTTGCTAATCTGGTTCTTTTCTTTCCGTTTCCTTAGTCTATAAGCCAGCCATCTTCCCAGCTTATTTGCATTTTTAAAAAAATTTTGTTTAATGCTTTTAATTTGTTGTGCCATATTTTCCTTTTCAATGATATTTAGTTCATGTTTAATAATATCTATTTGATGTTTCAGTTCCCGTTGTATGGGTTCTTCCTGCAACTCCCTTTCCAGTTTACTAAGATCTTCCACTTAAGTTTTTTTGCCGTTGTCTTTTTTGTTTGTTGTCTTTGGCCATATATGATATTTCAATACCCCTCATAAAGGCTTTTGCCGTGTCTCACAGATTCTGGTTATTCGTGTCTTCTTTCTTGTTATTTTGAAAAAACAAGCTCATTTGATCATCCATCTTTAATTTAAATTCATTTTGGTTCAAAATTGCTCTTTTTAGGGTCCATCTCCTTATCTTTTTTTGCCCTTTCCATTTAATTTTAATGGGATTATGATCTGCCCACGAATTTATGTCAATATTAACTTTCTCAATTCCCAAATTCACTTCTGTCAATGCCCAAACTATATCAATTCAAGAGCAAGATTGATGTCTACCTGAATAATAAGTATATTGTTTTTTATCTCCATTTCTTTCCCTCCAACAATCCTTTATATTTAATTCTTCCACCATCTCAAAAAATGAATTAAGTAATATCCTTCTAACACCTTTCTTTCGTCTGTTATTTCTATAATCTAGTTTTCTGTTTACAATCGCATTAAAATCCCCAACTATACACAGATTATCACATTCTAAGTCTCTAATCATGTTATACAATTTCTTATAAAATAGTTTTTGACCCTCGTTAGGTGCATATATTCCAACTAACATCATTTTTTTGCCATCCACTGTGGGATTAATTGCACAAATATACCCATAGAAATGCTCCCACAGGGTCCTTGAGATAACAAACGGACTGCTCCAGACACAGGATACATTCATCAGCCATTTGGACAGAGTCTGATAAGAACACCTGTGTAGCCTTGCATCTAGAGAGTGTCTGTTATGCGATACATTGTAACCACCCCTATATACG